GGATGCAGTCTGTGGTTCAGCATCATCCTGCAGAAACATAAAGGCCTTCCCTGGACGGAGCATATGTTGCTCTAAAGCCTGTATATACCTTTCAGCATTGATGGAGCCTCTCCAGATGTGCCAGCTGCCAGTTTCGTTGATACGATCCCCAACCCATCAGAGACGCAGGCTTTGAACGAAGCACTGATAACGAGCGGGATGGTCCCTCGCCTCTTCATTAACCCGATTAGGTGCAAAATGTTCCTCCATCTTTTCCTCGTAGCACCACTTACTGTTCCAGCCTCCAACTTTTTCTGTGTGCTGTTGTAGATAAAATAACTCTGACCCTGATGAGATCTGCAGATCGTTGCCTTCTGTCTTCATTTACATTTTACACAGGGTCCCAACTTGTTTGGAGTTTAGGTTAGAATCTGTAATAAAGCAGACACACTGACCGATAGAGTCCTCGTGCTGCATCCAAACACATGTGAGCTTTCCTGATCCAGGTCAGAGTGAGGTCAGAGTCCAGAACCTGGCGAAGACTTCCTTTCTCACAGTACTCCATGATGATGAAGAACTGAGGCTTGGGTCCTACAGGCAGACACAAGGACAAGCTATTACAGGTTTGTCACTGAGTGTATTTATCTGTGATGTTTTCACGTATTTATATGTGGGGATAGCGTGTAACAGACACTCTGGTCCACCGTGAGGATCCCCCCCCCCGACGTGGACACGCAGACCTCTGTGTTCACACGCTCACCGTTCTCATCCTGGATGCAGATTCCAAACATTCGCAGGATGTTGAGCGACTCAAACTGCTTCATGGTGTCGACTTCCTTGTTGAAAATAGACTTCACGTCTCTGGATGTGGAGAAAATGTTTGATGGCAGTGAATACAGCAGGACACAGAGAGCACTGGGAGCCTGAGCTGGAACAGCATATAAGTGAATGTGTGTGTTATTTTCTAATGGGAAGGACTATTTTCCTGTGTTTCTTCCCAGTATGGGGCTGAACTGTGGCACTGACCGTGCACTGGTATTCATGGGGTCGAGGTATCTCTTGATGGCCACTGGGAATCCCTGATATTCTCCTTTGTAGAGCTCGCAGCTCGCTGTTGTCTTGAAGGGCTTTTTGGGATGTTGATACTTCAGTTCATCTGGTTTAATCTGTCGCACAGCCACGCTGCCGAAACTGGGCTTATTCACTGTGAACAAAAAAGATAAAGACTCCAATGATAAATCCCACTTTCTCAACATAAGATGTGTGTTTTGTCAGTAAGTCACCATTCACAGACTTGTTTATGACACAACTCTGCGCAGGGCCGCTCAGCGATGTCGTACTCACACATCTGCACCACTTTGTCCAGCTGTCCCAGTATGGTGTTGGTTTTCTCCTGCTGCTCTTTCATGTAGTCCATCAGCACTGAAGAACAGAGAGAAACACAAACTCTGAGTCTGGTCCAAACGCTCTAACAGGATTTATTCTAAGTGTGGAAACACTGAGAGGAACAGAATCCGCTTTGGTGAACCAGGATCAAAACACTAAAGAGCTCTGCTTGAACGTCTCTAAAGACAAATTCAGTTTCTCCTCACATTTGGTCATCTCCGTGTCGTCCTCCTTCCCGTCCATTTCGTCTTCTGTCTCTCTCTGTCTAAACACCTCGTACAGCATCTTGCTCTGCTCTGATTGCAGAGCTAGACACAGGGCCTGGTAAGCATCGTTGAGCCGCTCGCTCACCGTATCAAACTCTTCTCCGTGGCTGCCCGATTTCAGGATGCGCTCCACCAAGTTGGCTGCCGTGTATTTTTCAATTAGCCTCTGTGTTGACTCCAGAGTTAGGATCAGCTCCTCGACGGCTTTCTCTACCTCTGGAGAGAACTCTGTGATGGACTTCACTACATCCTCGAGGGCTTTGACTCGGACCGAAATCCGCTGGCAGCGCTTTTTGTTGGCCTTCACGTTTTCAGCCAGGGTGTAAATCCCTGAGAAGGTGGACCAGATGGGCTCTAAAGTGTCCATGATGAGCTGAAGAGACAGAGAGGACAGTTTATACCAGGAAATGCAACACATCGCTCCCTCACCTAGGAAGTGATCGCTTGAATGTTTGGTGAAGTTAAATTGTAAAAAGCAACGGCAGAATTCAGGGTAATGTTCATCAAGGAAAGAGTTTTTTTGTCCTGTTTCTCCCCCAACCGGTCGCAGCAGATGGCCCCGCCCCTCCCTCAGCCTGGTTCTGCTGTAGGTTTCTTCCTGTTAAAAGAGAGTTTTTCCTTCCTGCTGTTGCTAAATGGTCAAACAGCTGTGCAGATGTAAGAAAACCCCTCATCAGTGAGACTAAAGATGAAAAATCTGTCTTCTGTTTAACTCTGTGTAGGCATAGAAAATAAAAACCTTTTTAAACCTTTTTTGTTCAGCACTAACAGCTTTTAATCAGTCAGTGTTTAACTGGTGATTCTCCACATTTAGTTTTAACTCTTGATGAACACTCGTGGCTCTCTTCTCATTCCCTGCGACACGGCTTCAGCTTCAGAGCCAGAGTTTCTCAACAGGAAGACAGTCTGCAAGCTAAACTACGAAACAGGATGTGAATGAAACACAATTACCAACACGCACAATACAAGGAAACACAAAGGGAGGAGGACATCAGCCTCAAAAAGACCCACCGAGAAATGATTTTTCTAATCAAAGTCCAAGTAGCTCAAAACCAGGGACCATGACAAGGTTCACATGATGTAGAAAGCAGTAGTTTATACCTCCATGCTCTGTTTATCGGTTCTTTCTTTATGTTTGCCCGGCCTCCCCGCGCACTGACAACGCTCCATCGGTTTTATTTTGGTAAGTGTTCAGTTTTACTTTCCCCGGTCTTGTTCCCCGATGTTCCCTTTCTCCCTAGTTTGCTTGTTTGTGTTAATAGCACGTTTCTCTGTAGCTACCCTGTTACCAGCGTTATCCCAGCCTTTGTTATGTGTCTGCCTCAGCTTCAGTGATTACCTCGCCTAGAATAAAAAGCCATTTTCAGTTGATGCCTGCTCGCCCATCAGTCTGCATTTGGGGTCCTCATCCACCATCTAACCTGACACCTTTCCTCTCAAAGTCTGAAATTAAAGTCTCAGCATCATAACCGCTCATGGGTGTATCCTCTGCAGCTACCTCTCAAACACAAAACCTCAGAAAACCTCCACAGGTGATCCACACACAAAAAAATCAAGCTCAGGAAATCAGGAAACTTTTTAGGTGAATTTTCAAACGAGTGTCTTAACTGAGTCATCAAATGAAAAAGACCAGCTGTGAGCAAAGAGGAGAAGCAGGAGAAAGACGGTTTACCTGTCAGGTAAAGTCTGCTCTTCTTCACACGGCAGTCTGCTGTTGGAGCAGACTCTTCAGCCTGCTGCTCTGCCTCTTTGCTTCCTGTCTGTCAGTTAAAGGCCACGCCCCCAAAACTCAGTTTAATCCAGGAAGCAGAAACTGTGCATAGCTGCACTTTATCCACACACTTCCTCAGTTTTCCATCATGGAAGTGTGTGCATGACACAGGAGGGACATTTTTGACTCGTTTATCAGACCTTCAGTGTGGCTGAATCCAAACAGCTCTGCCAAAACAGAAACCAGACAAAAGCTTCTTCCCCATCTGTCAGTGTGAACGAGTAGATTCACTCTCACTGAAACATTTCTGAACCAAATCTGAATCTGCAACGATGCAGGGGTGCTCTACACTTCCACGTGCATTCATACATACACGTGTAGAGTATCTATGTGTAGTATTTTGCAAGGAAACAGTATTTTACTTCTAAAAAAACTCGTCCACTGCAAGTATAGACTGTATATAAAAGAAGTGAGGCAGATGCAGAAAGGCCTTAACCCTCATAATGTCCTCCTGATTTCCATACACCTGTGGTCCTCAGGGGACAAAAATGTCCCCATCTGGTTTGATTGATACTTAATTAATATGAAGTGGATTT